CAGCGAGCACCACCAGGGAGCACCACCCAGCAGCTCATCTCAGCAGACAACAGACCACGTGGCTCTACTGCTGTTGCATTACTTACCCTTTCTCACCCCCTCAGCAGTATTTCTTAATAGGGTTTTGCTTTTGGGGTAAGACAGAGAGCAAGTTGGTGGCCATGGTGGGGACATTTCCACCACGGCAAGTGGCAATCGCCACAAATCAGGGCTTCCACTCACCCTCGCCAGCTGCGAAATATTGGCCAGCACAGCACAGAATGGGGTTCACAATAGGCCCTATCTCATCAGGGGTGCTTGGGGACTAAAGAAGATGCTGTTGCGAAATGCCAGCCTGGTGCCTGGAGCCAACCTGGCGCTGAGCGCTTGGCAGGAGCTGTGGGCAGGACGCAAATGAGGACAGAGAGTGGGCCATTCAGTAACCCTACCTCCATGTGGTAGTTTCGACGTGGATTGCAGACAGGCCTAATTGCATGGGCTTTTCATTTCCTACCCAGGTTATGTTCCCTTATCTAGAATTGCTGCAAGGTCCAAGTGCATTTGCTTAGCAGGAACTGTGTGGCTTCGACTGTTTTTTTTAGAAGCCACATTTGACTTTATCAAGAAACCAGAGACCCTGCGCCGCTTGCCAGCCATGCACAGCTGCGGAGAGAACGGGCAGCCTTCGTTCTCTTTAAAGAGCAAAGGGAAGGTACGAGGGCCCCGGGGGCCCGCCCTTTCCAGAAAAGCCGGGGCTCTGGGGCACTGCTCGACCACAGAGCAGCACTGGCCACTCCCACCCGGGATGCGAAGCGGGCGTGCTCCCTGGGCCCTCCTGCTGGGGCAGGCCCATGAACAGCCTCTTCTGCATTCACACTCTCTCAGCCTGAGCCTCTGTTCTGCACCGACACGTGGAACTTTCTGCTCACTGTGGACCGCAGAGTCCCATAGTGCATTGCCGTGGGCTCTCTGGGACCCCCTGTTGGTGCTCCCAGACAGGTTTGTGCCTCTCTCCTGGCCTTTGTTCTGTGAATAGCCTGGGACCATCGTTATGCTGTGACTGCCCCATTGCCTGTGTGTGCGGGTCTCTGAAACTCTGAGGGCTGTGAGGGCAGGACCCTGGCCCACCCCACCTCCGTAGCCTGCTGCCTGTCCCCACACAGTGGTCACTGCTCCCATCAGCCCCCTCTCCTTTACCCCTGGAGACACTTTTGCATAATCCCTTGTAGAACAGAATTCTCTTCCCCTTTCGTGCTCCAGAAGCCCCCTGACCCCACCGTCGTGCAGCCCCCACGGGAACCTCAGCTACATCTCTGCTTGCAGAGAGAATAATTATCTCCTCGCAGGAGGATAGGAATACAGCCCATTTCACAGGGGTTAGCAAATTAATACAGGGGAAAAAAGCACTCTTAGGTGGTTTCTGACATATAGTAAGCACTTAAGAAATGTTCCATTTCTCTTGTATCCGGCCCCTCAGCCCAGCTAAACCCTCTGCAGGCAGGACCTTCTACCTCCCATGTTTCCTCGGTGTTTAACGTGTATCAGGAGTTTGGTGAGTATCACTTCCCTTCCCCTGCCTCAGGGGCGGTTCTTCAGAAACGGGTCCTGGGTTATGCCTCTCGTCTCTGGCTCTCAGCCTGGAGTCTAATCTGGGGCCTGTGGTCAACACTCAATATAGATGTCAACAGACTAAAAGGCCAAGCCATGGATCTGAAGCAAGGGCCAAAGCCTACTATGGAAATTCTTTCCAAGAATTCCTCCATAAAAACTTACGTTGCGTGTGCCAAAACTGATGGAGAGGAGATAAGGGTCCTTTCCACCCTTCATGGTTCAGGTGGGCATATGACAGAGTCAGAGTTCAGACCTAGGTCTTTCTGACTGACTGAATCATTATGTTATGTGGTTGGGTCTGAATAAGATGTGATTCCTGTGTGGCCTTGGGCAAGTGACCTAACCTCTCTGAACCTCCCTTTCCTTATCTAACAGCATTTGTGAAGATTAGATGAGATAAGGCTTATAAATGCTTTATCCAGCCAGGCACACAGAAAGAATCTGATGAATACAGGCTGATTAGTAACACCAGAGGCCCTGGGCATGGCCAATGCTCAGTCAGTGTCCTTTGAAAGAGAGCACCGCTGTGCATTTTTAATTCCCCAGCCCGCAGTTTCTGGACAGAACTCTGAGTCCCCAGCCTGACCCCACAAAATATATATTGGAAAAAGCTAGGGGTCTGTGCCGTCCGATGAAAAGAAACAGAACAGATGGAATGAACCGGGACAATGAGCACCTTGGGTTCTTCTCTCTGCCACCTCCTGCCATGATGTCGTAACGCCCTGGTCCGATTCCCATGATATTTCTGAACAAATGACTTATATCTTAAGCTTCTTTTTACCCAAGTCTTCCCTGAGCCAGATGAAGATTCTCGAGAAAGACATTTTTCAGCCTTCTGCGGGGTGAGGAGATGGGAGGGGGGATGGGAGGAGAGACGGGCGGGGAAGCTCTGAAGACGAAGGGTTCCATTTCGAAGCCCCCGAAATACGCAGGGCTGGCCCTGGGGTCTCCCGGGGGGCCGCAGTGCTAAGCAAGCATTCACTTCTCCCCTGTCCCTGTGAGTTAAAGCCTAGATGGAACATTCTTCTCTAAATAGAAACCCAGCGAGGCTATGTCATCATACAACCCTGATGTTTTTCCTAAAATAAATCAGGATGTTAAAATAAAATTAAAAGCATGACCCTGACCCCCAGTGAATTCAGATCAAGGATCAGTCACAAGATGCTCAAGGTAGACATCAGCGGGGAAGATTCCATTCAGCCTGCTAGTCATTAACTCCACATAAATCTGCCCTAAAGCCAAGGAATGCCTCGGGGGTTAGTAGGCTCAGGGACAAGGGCTGGGGCCAGATTCTACCACGGAGCCCCATCCCAGCCCCTTCAAGTTGGATACAGCTCTGGAGCAAGAGGCCACACCACTGATGGGTTTGGTCTCTTAGCTTATTAGTTAGTTTTATTATTGTTTTTTCAATGTGTTAATAAATTGCTTATTAGTTAATTGAGTTAGGGGAAAACCGGTCAAAGGGTCTGGACATTGTCACATCCAATCACTCACGGGATGGGAAAGACCTGCCAGCAACGTGGAAACGGAGAAGAGTGACATCTAGGGTCACCAGCTCTGGCCTTGTAGCCTGACTCTAGTTGTGTGGTTTGGGGTCTAGTAGCTCCAACTTCCTATGCCACCCTCTCCTCATCTCGAAATGGAGGAGAGAATGCCCGTTCATGGGTATTAAATTCCACGCCCCCGTAGAAGCCCCGGCGCGTGCAGGCACGCAGCAGACACGTAATATCAGTTTTCCCCTCCTTTCCTCCTTTGGGGCAACGCGTTGCGTTGGGTGAAGGGTGTAGAGATCCAAGTTATAGATCTCTAAGTTTCCTCCAAACTGCACATTCCATGAGTCCCATTTCCAGGACAAGTGCCCTGGCAGGGCCAGCATCAGTCCTATATTGCCTCTGAAACGAGGGAGGAAGCCATGATTGGAGATAACGAATCTCATCTCAGCCTCTCCATTGGACACCGACTCAGAGGGGGTTTTCAATCTTTTTGTACCCGGCACATCCTTCTGGATTTGCTTCCAGGACACAGGGTGAACGTGCCCAGTCTCCAGGCAGCTCCCCACTGTTCCCCAACTGTACCCGCACCTAGAAACACCTGGAAGGTAGGAGCTGACGGGACCAGAGTGAGTCTCAATCACTGTTCTACCAACAGAGAAACAGACGCAAGGGAAGACTTTCCAAAAGACAAACATACAGTAGATGGCAAGCTGGGAAGACACTCGTATCTCTTCATTTGAGTACAGAGCTTCTCCATCATCCCGCGCAGACCATCCATTCGTTCATTGGCCGATTTCAAACTGAGCTCCCCAAACGGGCTGGGATACAATCAGCACGTATGTATGAAGCGCCCACGTTGGGGCAACGCTGCCTTGACCCTGAAATCCTAACTCCATGTACATCGTCAAATACACACCAGTGTCGCCCTCTCCCTCCCCAAGACTGCCGTGTGTTCCATTACCCTAATTGACAAGTTCCAAAAAAAACACAAGGGAACTTGGCAGAGTGCACGTCTATTGGTTTCCCCTGCCCAGCAACAGCCCCTTAACCATACTTTGAAGACCCTCCTCTCTCCCACTGTGCATACCGTCTTGAGAGGACATCACTCGGGCTGCCCCACCCTCCCTCTGGCAGCGGGAGGGCACAGAGCCCAAGCTGGGCCAAACTCCCTGCCTTGAATTTAAAGCTTGACCACAACAACCAGAGTCCGATGATGGAGACACTGTCCATTCATTCCTGCTAAATACATCCCGGTCGCTGAGACCAGGTGAGTCATCTTTGCTTTGAGTCTATCAGCAACAGATAAATTCCCTCCCTGCTGAAGTTCTATAGGATCGATTTCTGTCACTTGGACCCGACGAATCCCGGCTGGTCTACTTCCCAGCCCAAGGACATCATCCTAATACATGGTTGGCAGGCAGCAAACCGAAGACGGCCACGTAGCCAGAAGGGGCGGGTGACTCACCAGGTTTCTGGTACCATCCAAAGGGATAGGTGCGGACCTCAGTGTCAGGGGAGCCACAGTCCAAAATGCGCCAGGTTCCTGCATTTTCCTCACTGCACGTCTGAAGTCCCAGGCTGTTCAGAGTCAAGCACACCACCTCTCCTCCTGGAGCAAAGGAGTAACCGGGACCAGAAAGACGATCATGAGGGAAGACTGCTAACTGAATGAGGGAAATCCTGCAAACCCATCCTCCAGCAGGCGCCTGGGGTGCTCTACCGGACTCCAGGCACGATCTTAGCCACCCGTGAAAACCCGGGTACTGCAACGAGCTTGTCTCAGAGCGCAGGGATAGAGGGAGCTTATCCTGATGGGGCGCCCGCCACGCGCCCAGGGCTGGTCTCTGCTGGCATCCCGTCACTCGATCCTCACACAGTCCCGTGAGGGGGATTTGTATTTCCATTTGCACGTGAGGGATGCGGAGACGCTCTGGGATTAAGTGGGTTTTCCTGGATCACATCACTAGCAAGGCACTGAATCCAGTTTTAAATTCAGGTCATATGGATGGATGCAGAGTTCATCCCACCAAGCTGCCTGAGCCGCATCTTGAGAGATGAGCTGGGAGCCTAGAAGGAGGCCATGTGAGCCAGGCAAAGTGCCGTGTCAAGGTGCCCGGTCGGTGGGCCAGGAGCCACGGCCGGCCGGCTGTTCCATGTATTAGCCACCGCCCCCACCCAGGCCCCCACTTCCCATGTGTGAACAAGGACGGCACCTCCCCATCCACCCCAAAAAGAGCAGATGTGGGAGCAGGTTTTCCAGGCTGCCAAGTGCTGTGCTCAGGCAGGCGGAGTCGCTCTCGCTCTTACCTTTTAGCTGGGACACGTTTAGAAAGCCAAAGCCAGTACAGCACGGGTCTGCATCGCACAGCCGTTCACATTCGAAGAAGCTGGCACGAGGAGAGAAAGAGCGGGCAAGAGGGGTTTTGTGAGTGGCCCAGGACCTACTGAATTACAGTCATTCTTACTTCCGGGAGTTCCTTTCCTCATGACTCCGTAAAGTGGGGGTGCTGTGGCCAGTATGCATGAGTGGATTCCTAGCTTTGAGGGTCCTTCTAAAAACAAAATTCTAGGGGCGCCTGGGTGGCTCAGTCGGTTGAGCGTCCAACTTCAGCTCAGGTCACGATCTCACACTCCGTGAGTTCGAGCCCCACGTCGGGCTCTGTGCTGACAGCCTAGATCCTGGAACCTGCTTCGGATTGTGTGTCTCCCTCTCTCTCTCTGCCCCTCCCCTGCTCGTGTTCTGCCTCCCTCTGTCTCAAAAATAAATTAAAAAAAAAAATTTTTTTAATTAAAAAAAATTTCTTTAAATAAAAACAAAATTCTACTCTTTTCTCAGGAACATAGTCTTGGCATCTTTCATTCATTGGCTCACTCTTTCATCAAGCATTTATTCTGTGCCTGTTATGTGCCGGTCTCTAAGCCAAGCTCACCCAGCATCCTGAATGTGAGAAAGTTTGGCTTTGGGCTCTGGGGAAAGGAAGACAGGGTAGAGAAGCCATCTTCAGAAATGGGAGACCCCATGGGCTTGCGGTCGGAGTGATCCAACCAGATGTCTGTCGGCAAAGACCGGCACATTTCCCCTGACCCAGCTTCCCCTCATATGTGCCGTGTAATGTTGGCTAATCACACTCTGGTTTGCTGGGTCAGCGTATCCAGGCCCCGTCTCGGGAACCTACTTTGCCGAATAACCCAGTGTGGCTGCTAGACCCCTCCCTCAGCTTCTAGGACCAGTCCTGGAGAAACGTAGTGGCTCCAAGCCAATGCTCCCGGGCTCAGCTCTAACTCCCCTCACCTTGACTGCCTGTCCCAGTTCTGATCGCTCGTCCTTGACTCGCCAGAGCTCGCTCAACCCTTCAGCTCCTTTTCGGTGGGGGCAAACTGCCTCATTCTTGCCACTTTCCTTCTTTGTCTTAGGAGCCCCTGAACTCAACTCGCATTGTGGTGCACAAAGCCTCCGTGTCTTGGACGATTTTTCCAATGCTGGCTGCAACTCTGCCCTGATGGCTGTGGACCACCTGCCCCGTGGCTCCCTCTCCCAGAGTCCTGCCCACCTGCCCACCCACCACTGTGTTTTCCTCTCTTGGAAGCCCAGTGCTGAGCTCCAGCCTGGATGATGTGCTGTCCCATCAAACCATCCCCAGCACCAGTATGGCGTCTATCTCTGGTTCCAACCCTCTCTCTCTGACCCTGCCCCAGCATTGCAAGCAGTGCCCTGCCAGATCTCAAGACAGCCTACCCCATATCAACCTTTTAAGTCCATTTTCAAAAGCAGATCTTTTTTTTTTAATGTCCATTTAGGAGCGCTTGGGTGGCTCAGTTGGTTGAGCGCCCGCCCATCTTTGGCTCAGGTCATGATCTCGAGGTTCGTGGCTTCGAGCCCCGCATCGGGCTCTGGGCTGATGGCTCGGAGCCTGGAGCCTGCTTCGGATTCTGTGTCTCCCTCTCTCTCTGCCCCTCCCCTTCTCATGCTCTGTCTCTCTCTCAAAAATAAATGAACATTTTTTTTTAAGTGTTCATTTATTTTTGAGAGAGTGTGGGAGGGAGGGGCAGAGAAAGGGGGGCAGAGGATCCAAAGCGGGCTCCGCGCTGATAGCAGAGAGCCCGATGAGGGGCTTGAACTCACACACCGTGAGGTCACAACCTGAGCTGAAGTTGGACACTTCACCGACTGAGCCCCCCGGGCGCCCCTTCAAAAGCAGATCTCAACCACCAGCAACATGACACAGTTTCATAAATCAACAACACTTCATAAACCAACAGTTCATAGGCCAAGGACTCGCGAATTCTAAAGTAGGAAAGAATCACCTGGAGGAGAATTTTACTTAAAATTCAGATTCTTGAGCCCCATCCCAGGAAATGCTGACTCAGTAGGTCCAGGAAAGGACCCAGGAATGTAGTTTGCAAAACATCCTCTTGGCGATTCTGATGGGTGGGATCCAAAGACCAGGCTGAGAGAAACATCACCTTCAAGTGAAACAACTAAATAACAGCTAACTACCTAAATATATAATGACATACTTTTAAAAATAATACATCAAACAAATTACAATTCCTGATAAGCTTATGAGCTTGTTAGAAGTTCTACCTTCTCTCCAGATTTTGCACACGGCATAGTGAGACTTTGCCGATCAAGTTTATCACAACACTTGATAATATCTGTTAATTGATAAGACACTGGTCAGTGTCTCCCTTTTGTGTCAGATGCCTGGATGAGCATGGCTAAATTTTGTGTTTGGTATCAGTAACTTAGCCACGGTTTTTAGATATGGTCACCTCCTCACTACCTTTCCACTCTTTGCGTTGGGTTTTACAGTTTCTTATGTATGTGCCTTTAGTTGATATTAAGTCACCTTCTTACGGAAGCAGAAAAGTCTTAACAATAAAGATTTGAGAGGACAGAAGTAGCTTACCCATTGGAAATGGATTTTTCAGACATGGGCACTTTGTTTCTAATGGAAATCCCCGTCAGTTTTTGGAACGGCAGGCGAGTATAAAAGTTCTTCACTTTATCTCGCAGTATAACTACACAGGGGAAGAAAGAAATTATATATTATCTAGAGAGAGATTTGTTGTATCTATGAAATATGAAGATTAGGGTAGACACAATAGATCGAGAGTTTCCAATTAAAGATGGCATATTAAACTCACATGCTTACTCTCTGTTCTTATCACAAATCTCACTAAAATGACAGTGAGGGGATTCTTGTAAAGGCTCCCACACACAAGAATAAAGAGAATAGGATGGGGCGCCTGGGTGGCTCAGTCAGCTGAGCGTCCGACTTCCACTCAGGTCATGATCTCGCGGTTCATGAGTTCGAGCCCCGCGTTGCGCTCTGTGCTGATGCCTCGGAGCCTGGAGCCTGCTTCGGATTCTGTGTCTCCCTCTCTCTCTGCCCCCCACCCCGACTTGTGCTCTGTTGCGGTCTCTCTTTCTCTCTCAAAAATAAACATTAAAAAAAAACTTGCAAAGAATAGGAGAAGGGATACAGCAACAACTCTGGAAGCTAGAGAGCACACACAGGAGCTAAGAAAGCTGAATCCTCAACTTTTCTGTGGGAAGAACAAGAAACCTTATACACCTTCTGGAATCCCCAAAAGTTTAAGTATTGACATCACTAGGATGAAGGTGGCCTAAACCAGGATAGGCCGGAAATCTCTAGAAGAAGCAGTTAGGTCTCCGGACAGCTTCCCCGCTTCTGCACAGGAGACAAGTGCCTTCTCCCCACTGCAGAAGATAGAAGGCTTATTCTCCGAAAAGAACAAAAAAGAGAGGATCTCTTCGATGCACCAGGTGGCGTTTGTGGTGGGAATCCCACACTGAAACTAGGGGATTCTTTCAGATCCACCTACATGGTGACAATTGAGACTCTCATCTTCCAACCTTATTTGGCATCCAAACCAACAGCAGTCAGGCTCATGGCCTCAGGCCAGGTGTTACAAGATTCCTTCATGGGAAGGACCCATAAATAAAGACCTGAGGGATCCCCCCAAAGTGTGGCCCAACTAGATTATCCTACAGGGAAACCTGTAGGATTGTGTCAGATGCCTGGATGAGCATGGCTAAATTTTGTGTTTAGCATCAGTAACTTAGCCACGGTTTTTAGACATGGGCAGTGAGCTCTCACCACACACTCTGAGCTTCCCAATCAGTTTCTGGGCCCCTCTCTTACATTTTAATATAAAACCGAGGGTCACCAGATATCTGAGAAAGAACTCCAGCAGAGATAGAACAGTAAACAAAGCATGATAATATCCCAGAAGAAATGGAGACTGTGCAGGGGAAAAACACTCCATAAAAAAAAAAAAAAAAAAAAAAAAAAAGTGGCATTAATGTCCTCAGAGAGAAAAATCAACTTCTATCTTGTGAAAGCCACTGTTGGGATTTTCCGTAACAGATAGCCGAATGGAATTTGAACTGATAGGTGCATTAATGGTGGCTTTCTCTAAGGAGTACGATTGCAGAACAGGATTATTCTCTATGGTCAACTTGATGTGTTTCTAAATGGTGTCGCATTGTTCCAAGGAGCGTGAGTAACCTTAATTTCAAAAAGAAGAATAAGTTAATGTGGATATCTCTAAAACCAAGGAGCCAGTAGCCCACTGGAAATGCCATTTGCGCAAATCCCACGAAGCACCCACCTTTCTTCCGGAACAGGGTCTTTGGCTGGTGGGGCAGGAATAGTCTGCAGCCTTTGGGATTGGGCTCCATGACATCGTCACACACTTGGGCCTCTGGGTAGAGGGTGCAGGTGAAGTACAAGGGTGTACTGTCTGTTATCTCCGCCAGCTGACAGAAAGAGGGCTCCTGGATACAGCCTGCAGGCAAGAGAGCAGTGGGTTTCGGTCCTTGGGAGGCCTGAGGGAAAGTAACCTCTACAGGATCTACTGGGAAGAAATGCCGGGAAGAGATTCTTCCTTGGAGGACAGAGGCCCAGGACCGTTGAGAATATCCATTCTGAAAGGCCCAAGAGAAAATACTAGAGTTCTGCTAGCTGGGGAGACGATTGTGCACCAAACAGGGAGTCCATGTGACTCTGAATGAAAGCAGAATCTAAGAAGGTGAAGAGTGAGCTGTGAACTCAGAAATACAGGGGAAGAGAGAGCAAAATTCCACTGGATCTTTACCCAGGACCATCTCAGAGGCAGTTGGGATCTTCAGACCTGAGGCCATGGGACTATAAAACTTTTGTGAACTCTGTGAATGATCTCCCCTGTTCCACTCCCATGTCAGACTCTCCCACTGGTATATGTGAGATCATACAGTTTTTTCACAAGGATGGATTATAGTTTATTCATCTTCTTTTGTTTTCTCATCCCCAAGGTCAAATGCAAGGCTTAGAACATAGCATATGCTAAACATAGCACATGCCTATTGGGTAAAGGATGGGTGGATGGGTGGGCGGATGGATAGATGGATGATAGGTTCTGGGAGTAGAGTAGAGATTATCTCTACTATAAGCTTCTTGAATCGATGGGTTATGTCCTGTCTTTCTTTTGTATCACCCCTGGTACTAACACTGAAGTGATTCCTGAGTTATGCCATTGAGTCTCATCCTATCTATTTCTCAAGAGTCGTAAAACTAGGTCTGTGTTGTCTGACCAGAGGATCCAGAAGAGGAAGGATGTGTTCTAAGGATACTTACGAGACAGGCACCACAGGTTTGCCTGCTGAGGGGAAAACAGGTGTTTGAAAAGCCAGTGCTGCTGGTTGGGCAGGGGTAGGCTTCCATTGACAACCACCTGGTTAAGGTCCACGGGGAAGAAAAGTTCTGTTGTCAAATCTGAAAAAGAAGGAGAGGGTCAACTTCCTTTGCTTTATCTCCACAGTGAGTCTCTCTCTCTCTCTTTCTCTCTCTCCCTCTGTGTCTCTGTCTCTGTCTCTGTCTCTCTCTCACACACACGCACACACACACAACACACACACACACACACACACACACACACACACACACACACACACACACACATTTTTTTTTAGTCTGTGTGAAGCCAGAACAGGTCTGGAGGCAATAGGGCTGGGAGTCTAGCCAGGCAGGAAGGGGTCGGAAGCTTTCAGAAAGTCCTAAAATTATAGAGTTGCAAGATCTTAGAATCTTAGTTTGGAAGACACCTTGGGAGCCATCTGGTTCAACTTTGCACCCAAGGCAGGACTTTTCCCCCATGGTATTTCTGGCCGGTGCCCCTGCAGCCCTGTGTGACGCGTCCGTGCTGACCATAGCAGGCCACTCCACCACTGGGGACTCGTGGAGTCCAATTGGTCACTTTGAGCCACTGATGCTCCTGTCTTTTGAAGCCATGCAGAAGTGCTGTCTCTCTCCCAGATGGCAGCCTACATTTGTGAAGACAGCTCTGCCCGGCCCCACACCGCAAGCTGCAGCTTTGCTATCCCTTAGTCGTTCCTCGTATCCTCACCATGATCGCTGGCTTCGGGATCTTTCTGGGTGCCCTGCCACCCACGGGACAGAAGTGCAGCCTTCTTCTTGGTCCAGGCTCCACTTGCGTTTTAAGCTTTATCTGCAGTTGCCTCGACTCATGCTCCAGGAGCACAGTCACATCGCTTGCTGCCCCAGGACTGTTGACTGTGCTCACCCCTCTTCCTCACCTACCTAGTCCTCCTGTGCTTCAAGGACCAATGCTGTTCCCTCCTGCCCTGATGTGCTGTAGCACTCTAAAGAGGCTCCCCAGTGCTGAGGGGCCCGATGTTCCCTTCACGAGAGGTCTGACTTTGCATAGGCGCTTACCTGGGGGCATGAAGCAGTTCATGGGGATGAGGTGGGGCCCATTTACAATGCCCCTTAGCCCAGGGATCTGGCATCACATCCGTATGGACCCCCATTTGCCTTGGACTTGAGCACCTTCCAGAGGCCCACTTTCCATGCTCCATAGAGCAGGCTCATGAAGACTGAACTTTCTCACCAACAAAAACCACCAACGGAGATGACATCTTTACTCACATCTGCCAAGGCCAGAAGTTTAGCCCTGGCAGAGACCCCAGAGACAATGTCGCCCTTCTCTGTGCCTCCCAAGCCTTCTGGGTTCTTGAACTTAATATTATTGTACAATGGGCAAAAAAAAAAAAAAAAAAAGCTCTCTTAAAAAATGGGGTGCCTGGGTGGCTCCGTCGGTTAAGCGTCCGACTTCAGCTCAGGTCATGATCTCACGGTTTGTGGGTTCGAGCCTCCCATTGTGCTCTGGGCTGACAGCTCAGAACCTGGAGCCTGCTTCGGATCCTGCGTCTCCCTCTCTCTCTGCCCCTCCCTCGCTCACACTCTGTCTCTCTGTTTCTCTCTCAAAAATGAATAAACATTTTTTAGAAAACAAAGCTCTCTTACTGTACAATGGGCAGTTTGCATGCCTGCCCGTGATATCACTTGTTAAGACAGCAGAGGAAGAAAGAAAAAAAAAGAACACACGAGGTCTGAAGACAAAGTTGAAGTCCCTTCGATCACTTTGCCCTCAGAGCCTTTGCGCAGAGGCTGGAAATGCCTGGCGGATCCTCCCAGGCTCCTCTGAGAAGCCTTTCTGACCCCTTCAGGCCGCTCAGCATCCTCCTACCCCCGCATCCCCACCACACTCGACACCTGTCCCCATTGTAGCCTTTGCTACGCTGTCATGCCATGGCTGGCACGGGGGCAGTCCTCGCTAGCCTGCGAATGTCCGAGGGCATGGCACTTGTGCTCAAAAAGTGTCTGGTGGACGGTAGAATGAATACGTAGCCCACTCAGTTTGTACTTGGTTTACACGGCATTATTCGGAAGAATTCCTTGCCTTCTTGTTCGCACTCCCCCGGGAGGCAAGGAGGCCGGTACAGGCCTGGCCAGACAGGAGGTTGCTCTTGCTGGTTTCCCTGTGTGTGTCCCAAACACTCAGACTCACTGAAGTAACACTGGAGCAGAAAGGGGACAAGTGCTCCCTGTGCTTTGAATCGGGGAGGCCATTCTTGGGGACACAGGCCAGGTAAACAAGCCACGGAAATGGCACTGGCCGGGCTGCAGAGGAGCAGATCAAAGGGGCCCCTCCTGCAGGGGTGTTATCTTCCTCAGCCCAGGAATGTAATCAGTCGGAAAGGGAAAACCGAGCTGAGCTGGGTCTATTCAGCCTGGATCCCTCCAAGGTCTTGGGCAGGGGCCCAGCTCCCTTTGTGGTGGCAGGAGGTGGGGATGGGGG